CCCCCCTTAGCTCCCCCAACTTTTTTTTTTTTTTTTTTTTTTTTTTTTTTGCCTTCCTGAACTACGAAAAACAGTCCCGCTCCTGCGCACCCTGCTCCCTGCTCCCTGCTCCAGACGATCTTCGTTCGCTTACTCTCCTGCACCCTCGCACTGCGCTGAGCTCTCTCGGCCTCCTCCGTGCCTGGTGGCCAGAGCGGTCACAGCTGCCGCCTGATCTCAGTGGATATTCGATCTCTTCAACTTGCTCAGTCCCTTCGGCCCTTAGCCAATCTTAAAGCTGGTCATGGGGCTCTCCGGTCAAACCCACCCACTTTACAGATGGGTAAAACAAGGTGAGGGGAATGGCTGGCAAAGGGGGAGGAACATGTTGTGGCCTGCCCTGAAATCTGTCCCAAGGATTCAAGTCGAGCAAAGAATCCTGCTCTGGGCAGCAAATCTGAGATCGATCGTCTGATAAAGGTCGGTGTGTGTGTGTGTGAGAGAGAAAGAGAGAGAGAGAGAGACATAGATGGGGGAGAGAGAGAGAGAGAGAGAGAGAGAGAAGCACCTGGGCCTTCTGGCCTCGCTTATCCCAAACTGAGTCTCATTCCAAGAGATTAGGTTTAAGGGGCTCTCGATCTCCGCACCGAACACTGGATAAGCAGGGACAGAGCAGGGGGAGTTGAGGTTGGGTCCATTTTCGAGAATAAATTTCTTCCAGGCTGCAGTGAATCCCAGCACCCTCTCTACTCCCCAACGCTGGAGAGGGTGACAGTGAATTTGACTTCATTGAGAAGGTCCAAAGTGGGTTCACAACCTGGCATCTCGGGGCAGTTAAGTTGTGTCAGTGTCCAGAGCTCCAACAGGCTAGGCCCGCGGAGGGTGCCATCTGGGGGCTTCTCAGGAGCGGGGAGTGCCCTGAAGTGCCTGGCTCCTGATTCCCTCCTGTCCGCGTAGAGCTTGTCAATGCCATAGGGTCAGAACTTCCTCCCAGGCCTGCAGCCAGTCTGCCAAGCAGGGGTCCTGGGACTCTAACTTTCTAACGGGCCACCGGAGCTTGGTACTTACTAGTGAGGCTGACAATCCAAGCTCCTCAACCCACATTCTGGAGGAAAATGTAGAATCTGGCTTTCCTCAGGCAAAAGCCACAGAGTTCAACTCACTTTGCAGAAAGGCCCCAGCCTTGAAGGAAGGCCACTCCTGACTGAGCATGAGCAAGGGAGAGAATCAGACATTTCCCCCAAACCCAGAAACTGGCAGAGGAGCTCCTGGTCCCTAAAACACGAATCAGGGGCGTCCCGAGGCACTCTTTAGGGAAAGCGAGCCAGACAAGCGCTGGGACCCAGGCCGCTGCCTGGAGCTGCACGGTTTCAACCTCCTGCCACCAACCTCATTCATCACCAATCATTTTAATTGAGCACCAAACAGAGCCGCGTGGGGACTGTAAGAGACAGGAGCAAATGCTCGGAAGCGCTCTGGAAGTTGGAGATCGTTAAGGAAGCTCGGGGCGCGCCTCTGCTGCAGAAGCCACTGCTGCTGGTGAAGGCTGCGCCCGAAGTTGTAAAGAAAGCTGCCCCAGAGGCTCCTAGCCCGAGCGAGCCCCGGAATAGCAACCAAACAATATGTAACAATTCTAATAATAACAAAAACAACTGCATTCTTTTGTCTGGATTGTGACACATGAAGTATCCTTCCGGATCCTGTCCCGCTGTGGTTAGCTGAGGTTGCCGGTAGCCTAGCAGACATGACCTCCATTTTAAAGATGGGGAAATTGAGGCTTACGGAGGTGATGTGACTTTTTCACTGTCACAAGGCACTAAGAGGCCAAGTCAGGGTCGTTAAAAGCCCAGAAGTATATTTTAGGATTTGGCAACAAGATGGATTATCCTTTAGCACTGGCATCCACTAGGTTTGGCTCTGGCGTGGTTAAATAGAAAAGTGCGGGTGCTCTTTGA